TCCCGTCCCCCATCCCGCACTCCGCTCCGCAGCTTTTCCCAGGGGGAGGCCGCGCACCCCATCCCCGCCGGGGCCGAGCCGTTGGACACCCTCGGTGTGCGCCCGCTGAAAACCCCCGAACAAAAGGCCAGTTGAGAGCGGCTGCTGAATAGATTAACAAGATTTCCATAATTAGGGCGGGCGGGAACAATGGGATTCTCCCTGCCCAGCCCCCCTGCCCGCCTTTGTCTTGCGCCGGGGATAATGGGCAGCAGCGAGGGTGGGAACCGGCCCGGCCATTTGGTCACTGGACAGTAATTTTCTCACACTGCCAAGGGGAGCATTGAAACATCTGTCCCGCTCGGCCACTCATTCACGTCCCATTTCAACCCTGACAGCTCCTCTGCCCGCCGCCCTCCCCCTCCCTGAGTTTTCTAGTTTTTTTTCAGATTTGGGGTTTTTCTTCTCCCCAAGAATCTCGTTTTTCAGGGGYTGGTTGGCTCCTGGGCACTGCAAAYGTTCYCCCGYAGTTTTGGGATGCGGGGATGGGGAGCGTGGTGGCGGTGGTGGTGCTCGGTGCTGGCCGCCCTCTTCCTTCACCCTCCTCCAGACTTTCGGAAAAGCAATTCCGTCGCCGGGGCCACCTCGAGGTGCCGGTTTTTAACCGGCGTCGGGATCGATCCGCGGGGAAAAGCCGCGAGTTCCCTGGGCAGGGATTGGTCAAAGCTCAGACTCGAATTTTCCGATATTCTCGAATATTCCGACCTTAAAAGTCCTGTGAATGCCCAGCTGAAGCAGAAGTTCGCAGTTCGGGGGTGCGATGGGGTTCAGGACAGGGGTGCGATGGAGTGCAGGACAGGGCGGGTTTTGGGGATACCCCATACACACACAATTCCTGTTTTATTTCTCTCCCCCGCACCATCCCCGTCCCCGCAGGTCTGTCAAAGATGCACTGGTCACCAGAGCATGCCCAGTCCCTGAACCAGTGGCCGGAGCAGCACCTGGACGTYTCCTCCACCACCTCCTCGCCGGCCCACAAGTCCGAGCTGTACCCCAGCGCCCGCCAGCGCTTCAACTAYGCCTGGGCCAACGATGACATCTCTGCGCTCACGGCYTCCAACCTCCTCAAGAGGTACGCCGAGAAATACTCGGGGGTGCTGGACGCGCCCTACGAGCGCTCGGCCCTCGGCGGATACGGCGACGGCGCCTTCGGGCCACTGAACGGGCAGAAGGGCGATGGGGAGCCCTGGCCGGGGGCTCACGGCTCGGACGGCGCTTACCCGCTGACCCCCATCCCCGACGGGCTGGCCGGAGCCAAGGGGGTCCCCTCGGCCGGCGGGGCCATCGGGCTGGGCGGCTCGCCGGTGGTGTCGGCCAACCTCGSCGATCCCGTGTACGCCGGCAACTCGTGCGGAGCGGCCGCCGCGGGCTCCGGGGGACTCGGCGCGTCTCAGGAGTACCCCTCGGGCTACGGGGGAACCTACTTGCCCTCGGGCTACTGCACGCAGCCGGSGGCCGCGCTTCCCCCGCCGCACCCGCCCGCCCTGCACAGCTCGGGGCTGCTGCAGCCCCCGCACCCCTCGCCCGCGCTGGTGCCGGGCTACGGCTCCTCCGGGCCCGTGTACAACTACGCGGCCGGCAGTTATCCACCGCAGCCGGGCTACGGGGGCATCCACCCGCCGCACCCGTCCGCCTCCTACCTGCCCTCGGGCATCGCGGCGCCCACGCCCATCCCGGCCCCGCCGCCCACCGCCCGCCCGCCCGGGGTGCCCGCCTACGGCTACCAGAGCGCCGGGCTGGGCCCGCTGGCCGTGCCGCCCCTGGGCACCGAGGCGGCGGGCGCGCTCAAGAGGAAGGCGTTCGACATCGGCGGCGAGGATGACGGRGAGGGCAGGTACAGGAAATACAGCTACGAGCAGCCAAAGTCTCCCTACGCCGTGTCGGACAACGGCGAGTGCCGCGGCAACGGCTTCAGCAGCGGCGGCAGCGGCGAGTCCCCCCAGGTGGCCTTCAAGGCCGGCAAGCGGCCGGCGGGAGCGGGCAGCGCCGAGGAACACGGCGGCAAGTACCAGATGAAGGCCGTGGTGTCCCCGTCCTACGGCTCCAGGGACGCGGCCCTGCGGCCGGCAGAGCCCTTCGAGAAGTTCAGCCCGCCYTTGGCCAACGGCGAGCGGGCGGCAGAGCCGGGACCCCCGTTCCCGCTGCGGCTGCCGCCCAAAGCGCTGGGATTCCTGGAGGAGCAGCCCAAGAACGTGGACCCGCTGCTGCTGGAGCTGGTGAACACCAAGGTGGTGGAGCGGGGCCCGCCCGTGCAGTGGTCGGACATCGCCGGGCAGGTGTCGGTGAAGGCGGCCATCGAGGAGGAGCTGCTGTGGCCCATCCTGCGGCCCGGCAGTTTCAGCGGCGCTAGCCACCCGCTGCGGACCCTGCTGCTCTTCGGGCCCCGCGGCACCGGCAAGACGCTGCTGAGCCGCTGCATCTCCACGCAGCTGGGCTCCACGCTGCTGCGCCTCAGCGGCACGGCGCTGCTGTCCGCCTGGAAGGCCGAGGCCGAGAAGATCCTGCAGACTGTGTTCTTCGTGGCCAGCTGCCGCCAGCCCGCCGTGGTGCTCATCACCGAGGCCGAGTCCCTGCTGGCGGCGCGGGCGGGCGAGGACGGCGGCCCGGCGGGCAACCTCAAATCTCAGCTCCTCTCCTACCTGGACAACGTGGCTACCTCATCCGAGCAGAACGTGGTGGTCATCGGCACCACGGCCCGGCCGGCCAGCATCGACGAGGCGTCGCACCGGCGCTTCGGSACGCGGCTCTACATCGCTCCGCCGGACGGGGCTGCGCGGCGAGTGATCCTGCGCCAGGCGCTGGCCCAGCAGAGCTGCTGCCTGAGCGAGCGGGAGCTGGCGGCGCTGGCCCAGCGCACCGAGAGCTTCTCCGGGGCCGAGCTGCTGCGGCTCTGCCAGCACGCCGGGGCCGCCCGCCGGGCGCTCACCGGACCCCCCGCTTCCTACCAGGACCTGGAGAAGGCGTTCTGCAAGGTGCGCCCCGCCACGTCCCAAAAGGAGCTGGACCTGTTCCTGGAGTGGGACAAGATGTACGGCACCAGGCACTGACGGCAGCGGGGGGACGGGGGCGCGGAGACGGACCCGGAGGCTGCGGGAAGGACCCCGAGGCTGCGGGATGGATCCCGATGCTCGGGATGGACCCCGAGGCCGCGGGACGGACCCCGAGGCCGCGGGGAGGGACGCCGAGGCTGCGGGAACGCACCCGAGGCTGCGGGGAGGGATCCCGAGGCCGCGGAAGGGATCCNCACGTCCCAAAAGGAGCTGGACCTGTTCCTGGAGTGGGACAAGATGTACGGCACCAGGCACTGACGGCAGCGGGGGGACGGGGGCGCGGGGACGGAGCCGGAGGCTGCGGGGAGGGACCCCAATGTCGCGGGGACAGACCCCAATGTCACGGGGACAGACCCCAATGTCGCGGGGAGGGACCCCGAGGTTGTGGGAACGCACCCCGAGGCTGCGGGGTCGGGTTTCAGGCGGGGATTTGGGCTCCGCGGGGGCTCCGCTTCTCGGAGCGGGGTCGGGGGTCGGGCCCCTCCTCGCAAATCCCTCCCGGCAGCTCCGCGTCCCTCGCCCTTCCCGTCCCGCACTCACGCAGGGATTTTTCGGGATCGCCGCCCCCCAAACTCAGGATAAGCTATTTATTATCGCCCCGCCCGTCCGTGCCGGGGCTCGGCGGGGCYGGGTCCGCTCCGGGATCCACGAGCTCCCCCATCCGCCCCAAAGCTTTATTATCGTGCTTTAATTGCTTTTATTATCGCCAACAGAAATACCTCGGGATGTCCTTTGAGCCCCTGCTCACCTGGCGGTGACCTCGATCAGGGAAAGGGGGATCTGGGCGGGGGAGGGGACACCCAAAACCAGGGAATTTCACCCCAAAATGTGGAGGTTTCACCCCAAAGCACGGGGTTAAACCACACCCCAAAACCAAAAGGTTTTGGAGTAAAATGCTGTAGATTGTTGAATATCCTAGACGTGGGTTTTTATTTTTGTAAGGTCTGTAGTATTTTTTTTTTTTGTTCGTTTGTTTTGTTTTTTCTTTTTAACTACTCAGGAAAAAAATTACCTCAGAAAAACTAAAGAATGTTTCTTTTTAAAAAACACTTTTTATCTTCTCAGAAAAGGAAAAAGATAGATTTTTTAAAAAGGGTTTTCCAACCTGGAACAAAGCTGCCTCATGCATTTGCTTCCAAAGGGAGGGGGGGGTTGAAGAAAAGGAAGAAGCAAAAGGAAAAATAAACTTGAAGCTGTCACAAAGATGAAATTTGAATGTATTTCAGGTGCTTTCCACGTATGTAATGCCATAATTTTATCCCGAATTTTGTTTATTTTTTGTTTTTCACGCCGTTATCGTAGCGTTTGGTGGAGTAACGTGTCTTCAACGGGAAAGTTTTAGCGCTGTAGCTCGGGAGCTGTGGCCGGCACCTCTTTTTGGAGCAGGGGTGGGGTCCTTTTTCACCCGAATTCAGGGATTTTTGGCTCCTCCGAGCGCTGAGGAGCCCAGCAGCAGCGGGCAAATCGCTTCCCCCCTTCCCCCAAAAAAATCCCATGGGGGCTGAGCGAGGGGCTTTGCACAGAGCACGAACCCCCAGCCCGCCCACCGACCCTTCCCCGCATCGCTGTGGGGCCGGGGGGGTTCCCCAATTAGAGAAAATTCTGATTTTTGTCATTTTTACTGCTCGAAAGGCCCCGCCTTTGGAGCAGCCCCCCCAAAAACCTCAGGGTTTGAGGACAGATCCCTCGCAGGGGCTCCCCACAGAGGTGTCTGCCAAGTTTTTTCCCATTTTTYCCGAATTTTTTCAGCTTCCTGTTGCATCCAGGGCATTAACAGGGCACCCCTTGCTCTCCCCTCGCCTCCAAAAAGTCGTGCCGGGTTCCCGAAGACTTATTATTGTTATTATTATCCTATTTGTACACTCTCTGTAACCATTTCTACCTCATTTTTGCAACGTATTGTACACGAAAAGTATTTAATTCATGTCTTATGGATGTCTGAGAAAAGACGAAGCTCTAGGGCTGGGATGGTCTACCTCAAGAAAATGCTGTATTTTAAAAAAAGAAGGAAAAAAGGAAAAAAAAAAGAAAAAAAAAAGTATTACACAGTATTAAAGAGATTACCTGAACGACTGCTGTGCTCGGGGGATGGGGTGGGGGAGGGCAGGGCGTGTCCCCTCCCGGGTTTTAGGGGTGGGGGGCTCGGGGGGGCCCCATTCCCTTTTTAGGGGGGTCCTGGGATGTCCCATTACATTTTTAGGGGAGATGGGTGGTCCTGAGGGTATATGGGAGGCTTAGGGGATGGGGAGGTTTAGGGGGTGGGGGAGACTGAGGGGATGGGGCAGATTTAGGGTATGGGGGATATTTTGGGGATGTGGGATATTTAGGGGATGTGGCAGATTTAGGGGTGGGGCAGTTTAAGGGATGGGGCAGATTTAGGGTATGGGGGATATTTTGGGGATGTGGGATATTTAGGGGATGTGGCAGATTTAGGGKATGGGGGTTCCCGGAGCGCTGCCAGGCTGCGGGGACAGTGCCAGCCACAGGAAGGTGACACGGGGACAGTTCCAGGGAACCGCCCCTGGAACCCGCGGCTCTGTGAGGTCAGGGGGACGCTCCCCGTTCCCGGGACACCCCGGTCCCGCAGACAGACGCCCCAAATCCCCGGCGGCACCCGAGCGATGCCGGCGCTGCTGTGGCTCGCCCTGCTCCTGCTGGCCCTGCGCGGCCACTGCGATGACACGGTGGCGGCCACCGTGGGCCGGCACAGCATGAGCCGCATCGCCGAGCTGCTGGCCGCCTCCGAGTGCCAGCARCTGCAGGCGGAGCTGCACAGCCCCGAGGAGGAGCTGAGCGAGCTGGAGCTGCAGTTTTTAGCCGAGGAGAACAACCCCATGCGCCGCCGCCGCCGCCGCCGCGGAGCCGCCCGGGGCTGCTCGGAAGCCCTGAGGAGTTGGCTAGTGACCGCGGGCGAGGTGACCACCTGGGACCGCCTGGTCCGCGCCCTCCGCCACATCGGGCGCTCGGACATCGCCCGGGAGCTGGGCAAGAAYCTGAACCAAGACCGGAGCCTGCAGCTGCGGAGGAACGTGGAGGGTTACAGCCGCAGCGTGCAGCACCTGAGCTCCGTGCAGCTGCAGCCCGGGCCGGGYCGGGGCCGCCGGGCTCCCCAGGTTGGCGATTTGCTCTTCCAGAGGCTGCGGCCACCCCGCTACGACCGCGGGCTACTGGGCTGGGTCCGCCCGGTGGCCCTGGGGGTGCTCGGAGCCTTCCTGAGCTCCACGCTGCTCACCGTGACCGCCATGTATTACTGCCACTGGAGGCGGCTCCTGCGCGCCTGAAACCGCCCCAAAAAACGGGMAAAGAGACCCAGTAAAGCCTCGAGTGAGGGATTGGCACCCCGAGATCGGCTCTGTGTGTTCTCCCGGGCACCGAGAGGTCTCTCTTTGGGTCATCCAGGGTGAGGTGTCCCCCGGGTGGCACCGCCGTGTCCTGTCCATCGCTGGGTGCCGGAGCGGCGGGGACGGAGCGGGCAAAGCTCCCGCGGCCACGTCCCCGCAGGGCAGGAGGGATCAAACCGGGATTCTCGGGGCTCATTATCCACGGGCGAGAGGTTCATTATAGCAGCCAGAGCCTGAGTGTCGCGGCAGAGSCATTTTGGGCTGCTTTGGGGTCATTTGGGATAAAAGTCTCAGCTTTCCTGAGGGTCCGGGAGCCTCGCTGCGCTCTCGGTTCGTCTCTCGCTGCGTTTCTGTTTTTCTCTTTTCTTGGCCAAGGAATCCCCACGAAAATCCMGCAGTGAGCCCCGGGTGAGGCTCAGGGGAGGCTGCTGGGGCTGGGAAGGGCTGGGTGATGCTGCTGGACTAAACTGCCCAGGGAAAGCTGAGAACATTCGAAATGTCTGCACGTGGGCAGTGCCAGGGGGCACGGGGAGGGTGGTCAGGGGCTTTTTTGGGGAGAATTTTTGGGATGTGGTTTTGGGGAATGGGCAGTGCCGGGGGGCACGGGGAGGGTGGTCACGGGCTTTCTTTGGGGGGAATTTTTTTTGGGATGTGGATTTGGGGAAATGGGGGAATTTTTTTTGGGATGTGGATTTGGGGAAATGGGCAGATGCGTCCCCTCCCTAAAGGAGGAACCAGGACGCCCCGGGTGGGGCTGGGGTGAGCTCGGGGTTGTTCCTGGGGGGTTCAAAGCCCCCCCAAACCCCCCAAATGAGGATCCCGRATTCTCCTCCAGGGCTGGGGTGGGGTTGGGGGTGCAAAGGCCCCGCTGGGGTCGTGTCCCACCCTGGGCACTG